GAGAGACGTTTCCGGTCATATGCCCCGTGATACATGCTTGCTAGAAGATCCCCCCCCCCACCCTTTTCCAAATTTCATCTCTCTGCTCAGATGCTGGCGGGACGTGGGTGGACACTCTCCGACTCCCCGCGCGTCCCTCTGTCCTTGCCTCTGGCTTTGTATTGGTCGCTTACACGCACTCCAGCAGTTTCTCATCAATGGCTGTACTCAGCGGCCGCTCAATGCTCCGACGCTGGCCATCTATCTTATTTATCCGTCTGTAATTGAGGCAATGAACTGCCCCCGATGAACTTAGTCGATTAGCACAGCTGGCGCTGCCAACTCCCTAATTGTGTGACGTGCGCTCGCTACACGTTTACTGGGTACGGCTCCGCCAGGCTGCGGAACGGCGGTCCCAATCTATTGACCCACTTAATTCTTGTCTCCGCTTTCACATTAAATTAAAAGGAACGAAAAGAGAGAAAAAGTATCAGAGTTCCAGAACACCCACAAAACTATCTCGTGTGAGATGTCGTGCAGGTACAGTTTGCCCCACAGTCGTATCTGTGTTGTTTCTCGTTGACGTCGCTGACCACGGTGCCTTACGGTAGCATAGTAGTAGGAAGTCAGCCCACCCGCACGTTTGCTAGCGGTGCTGCATAGGCACAGCAAATCTTGGGGACCGGCGCCTAAAACTAATACCAACACATAGACTTGCAGGAAACTAAAACTTATTAAGGGACGGCAAACCATAGAAAGAAAAGTGGTGATTGCATCTCGCACGAGATAAGAGGGAAAGAGCTCTTTGGTCCATCGTTATTGAATAGCAGGCAGGGCGCCTCCGTCACCTTAAGCCCCGCTGTCTCTGTGCTTTATGTAGTCCGAGCCCGGCACTTGCTCCGTCACCGTATCAGCGTTAAGGGGATTACACCAACACGCTGGGGCTCATTTTCACACATACACACGCGTGTGCCGCGTCGTCTAAGGCCCAAATTTACTCGTCGATAAGTGACTGGAGTTCCGCCGCGGTGTCCTCCTCCCTCCTGCGCCCCTCCCGGAGCGACCTGGAGGAGTCCTCTCCAAAATTTACGATCTGAAGCGGTGCCCTACCCGGGCAGGCAGGCTGGGCCAGGCTGACATTGTCTGCCACCCAAGTGGTGCCGGAGAGAGAGAGAGAAGGGGAGGGGGCTAGGGACATACCCCCTGCCCTAGCTATGGCCCTTGCGTACTACTTAGACAAATCTCGTACGAACAGAGGGCGATATCTCACACGTCATAATGCTTGTGATGTTGTTATTCACCGAGGAAAGGGCACGCCTTCTACCCAGCCCTAGTTTTCTTCCGAACGCTCGCCACACTATTTAAAAGTAACTGTTTTCCCTGTTGCATCTGAGTCTTGTAGCTCCCTATGTTTTGCTTGTGTCACACTGGAATCTTAATGTATGAGGCATTTGAAGACGAAAACGCAACGTGAAGTGCGCTTCATTTCCTCAGTTTGTTGGCGCTCGCACTTGGCCGGTTCAATATTTGCCCGACGGACACGGCAAACAGACTCCCGAGTTTGCTTTGCAGGTGACAAGCAAGCGGGCGAGAGAGCAAACCGAAAGGAACGGAACTTGTCGCGGCGGCTCAAGTGAAGTCTCGCCTATTTGGAGGGAAAACACAAGTAAAGTCACTGCTTGGGGATAACTAACCGCTACTTTTTTAAAACATTAGTCAGGCGGTCTTTTTCTATTCTCCATGACACAAAAATTACATTGAAAGGAATGGTTGAAAGAAAATTTGTCTGTTAGTGAGTACTTTGCCGGTCACATACCACGGTAACCTGGCTCGGATCGTAAGTGGCCTTAAGATTCCGTTTCCTTTGCCTCGGTGGACCACGTTCGACTGTCACGTCGCTAATTTCTTTTCCAGTGTGCTCGGGCCGCACGAGGAAAATTTTTGTCCTGGCTTGGGATGTTGCTCCCGTCTTACCAAAACGGCGCAAACAGGTGGTGGGGCTGGTCGGAGGGGCCCGCCGGCCAGCCGGGGTCGTAGGTGTGTTGGGGCCGTGGGTGGCGAAAAGGAGGGGCCTAAGAAGTCAGGAGGGGGACCGTGAATGGAGGGGAGGGACCGGCCGGGCCCGGGAGGGGTGGTGCGGAGCGGGGTTCGGTTCCGGGTGGGTGTTTTTATACCGGGCTGCGTCAGGAAGTTGCACCGGGGGTCCCATTCGGGGGGCGACAGAGGGAGGGACTCGCTCGCCCTGCTTCGGACGCGGCCCCACTCTGCTGCTGGAGGGGAGGTGGCCGAGGAATGCGAGAGGGGGTACTGACCCCTGGTGACCCGGGAGAACAGCAATTACGGAAGGAAATCGAATCAATTGAAGCCAGTCGCGAGACAGATTTATGTCGTAAAACATATTTCGACGCGTTAAGAGGTCCTGATTGGATCCCTCTTCTCTGCACTTTGCATCGCGCCCATCTCATGGACAGGCTAAAAGAAAAATAGCTCGGTTGGAGCTTAGCGTGCAGCATCACATGTACCTGAAAGTCTTGCGCGAAACAGATACTGTCAAAGTCTTTAACCGCTTTAATGCAAAATCATTAGCTTTGTATCTACATGCCAAATTTTGCTTCAACTTAATCCCTTCTTTTAGTCCTTTCGAGTCAAATACCAATATTTTCGATAAAATCTTAACATCGTTTCCTCAGGGAAGTACCAACGTGAAAATTTGGAAAATTTGATTTAAAAATTACTTCGTAATTATTTTATCTGAGCTAATAGTTAAAATTACGTGATCCTAAGACTTGGATGTAATATTACTGTTGCCTTTCTAAAACTGCAACTGCAAACACCTTGGCACCTTTCTCGCCAAACTTTGGCATTTCTCTTCGAATGCCAAATGTGGCTTATTCGTAGAGACAACTAATTTCTGGCATCGTTGCTTGGAAAATAATATTTTCCTCAGTAATAAGAATACTAAAATTTTGGCAAGCAAGCCGACCACTGTGTTTAGAGTGCATAAACCGACGTAGTAGGACTACTAACTGAACTGGTATTTTGTCTTGACACAGGGTGGCCCACAGCTCCCGGACAGTTTCGTAGGTATACTGTACCACATGCAGTGAGTGGTGAGGTGTGGTGTGGACGCGTTTGCCTACTCGCATGGGGCCATATTGATCAGCAATTGTAAGAGACGCGAGACGCTCGGCAAGCCCATCCTCACGTCTGCGTGCGGCGCAGTCACAGTATAACTAAGAAATTGTGCGGGGTATTGTCCGGAGTATGTGGGCACCATGTAGATGAACAACATTTTGTGCTCATGAAATGGTATGCATCGAAGTTGTAACGATAGTATTTCACTGCAAATAAAGCTCTCTAAAATATTGCTGCATTCTCAATGAATAAAAGTAATTCTGCTTCTGCCCCACAAAACATTGCGTATTACCCAGCATTCCTCACACTTCAATATTGTCGCACTATCGCAAGTGAGACTGAAACAAATGAAGTTCGTGGGAAACAATTATTATCTACACAGAAATTGAATTCGATCGCAACACCTTCTTGGATATTTACATCTAACCGTGATATGACAGACAAGTAAGATGCTTCACCCCACCTAGTACACTGTTGGCCAACATGCCATCACCTTTGTTAGCAAAGGTTGAAGCTGATGTAGACGACGTTGCACCACACGGTGGCGCAAACTATAACGTGACGCTGCGCGTTGCGCCACTCGGGGCAACACGACCCGGAGAAAATGGCGGCGCGCGCAAGGACACGGATCGTGTTGTTTTCGAAAGGTGATTTGAATTAAAAAGCTGATTTAATTGCGGACTTGCTGGGGCTCAGAGATACGCTGACTCAAACTCATTTGCAATAGTGATGCATGACAAAAGCCGCATTCAATTTTGGCCTCGCCACGCGTGCGACCGATACGTAGTATGTACAAAACCGGGGTGTAAGTTTTCGTCGTTTTCGTTTGGCTAAAAGTGCCCCGCAGTTTTTAGAACAAAATTGCAGAAACTTATTTCATAGAATGCACGATTTTATGCGGCTACATTCCTTCTATGTTTTCGCCTAGTTTATAATAGTTATATTCACTGTGGTGAAATTGTAACAAACACCCAGAAAGATTGTTTCCTGTTTCAATTAAATTTTTCCTTGTTTCAAGCAAACGCTGTCACAAGATCAAATTTGCTCTTGAAACAAACTGATATTTTCTTTCGAATAAGAGAAAAATCTTATTCCAAAGACAAAACTGCCTTGTTACAATAGTGAATTTCATCTTGTGTCAGCTTGCACTTGAATCAACAAACTATTTTTCTGGGTGGAGATGTATTGCTTTAAACCAAGTTTTCCTGGTACCCGCTACCCCTACCCATTTATTGCTTCGCCTAGCACGCAATGAATGCTCCTTCCTCAGTTATTAATACCAAGCGTGCTCCCCCAACATGGAGCAAATTTTCTTGGAATGAACTTTCCGTCAGAGAAAGGTCACCAGCAAATCCGTTTGCGTTTGGATGAATTCTTTGCTCCTGGAATTTTCTCCTTTATTTCTTTGTGACTACCGGAGAAAAAGGCGACAGCATGGCCGACAGTCCGCGATCTCTGATTGGCGGAGGGGCCTGCGCCGTGCGCCCACTCAGCCCGCGGTGCGGCGTGGCGTGGAGTGGCGCACGGTGCGGACGACCCACGCACAGCGGACGAGCATTCATTGTGTCCGTTCAGACCATCGAAGAAAAATGAATCCGTCATGGCGACTCCTGTTCAAGACGGCAAGCCGCCATCTTGCCTGCCGTGTTGCCAAACCGGGCATGGCGTTGCAGAAAAATAGGGAAAAGCCACGTCCGATCTTTGTGCGCGGGTTTTAAGAGACGGCGCCGACGACGATATCACCTTTCTTTACAATACCCCAACTGATCGATACCTCAGCGGCTTAAGGGAATCAAACAAACCCTTGAGCATTTCTCTTGCACAGGGCACAGGTTACGACAGTTCTACCCTCCACACCACAAGTGGCCTTTCACTTACGTCCTTACCCGTCGAGTTTAGCCAAAGGGCGAAGAGATCTTCGACGGCGACCTGCTGGTGGGGCGGCAGGGGGTAGTGCACATTGTAGTGGCCCGGGTGGCGGGGCCCGACCTCTATGACGCCGAGCTGGCGCTGGAGAGCGCGCCCGCCCCCCGGGGGCGCTGAGGGCGCGGTGGTGGTGACGGGGGCGCTGTGGAGCCCACTCGCTATGAGGAAGGCCTCCCGGAGGGCGGTAGGGGTGGTGGCTGTGGTGGGAGTGGACGTCGGGGGTGCAGCCGGGTGCTCGGCCACCCCCTCGACCTCCTTAAGCTCGGCGACAGCGTCGAGCCGCCCCCGGTCGGCGCGGTCCGCGCTGTCCAAGAGCAGCCTCTGCACCTGGAGGATGTCCACAAACTCCTCCGGGGGCGCCCCGCCGTCGCGGTTCGACGCCGAGGACAGCGGGTCGTCGTTGCCCTCCTCGAGCGTCGGTGACGGCCTATGCGTGGCGTCCGGGAGGCAGGGCCGGCGCATAGCCGCGGGTATGGTGAGCATGGTGAGCAGTGCGCCGGGCCATGCCTAGCGAACAAGCATCACCATCACCTGCAACAACAAAGAGCTGTGTTAACTATTGTTAGGCGGAGCACTCCTTTCCCCTCCTCCCATTGGCCTTTGAGCGCATAATGACTGACAAGATTGTTATCCAGTTCTTCGAAATTTTCATAAAGTCATAATACTTTTTAACAACACTGGTACCGATTTAACCGATTATCTTGCATTAAGTTTTGGCTCAATCGGGTTTGCGCATAGTGTTTGTTTCCGTACACGGTTTTCGGTAATTATTGTTTGCCGCATTCTAGGTGGTGTACCAAAATAGCCCCGTAAGAGAGAGGGAGAGGGGGGGGGGGGTGGCAGCGCCAGGGCAACGCATTAGAGAGCACCTTTTTCAGCGCACATTTTACAGTTTACACTTCGACTTTCGGGTGTACATGCAGACTATATTAAACCAATAAGTGAATATTCTTACTCTGAAAATCCAACTGAAGGAGAGTCCTATAGCTGTACCGGGTGCTTCGGTGCTCTCGCTGGTGCGGGCGGCCTACTACTCCATTTCGCCCTTGCCGTGCGTAGGCAAATCCATGCGCACCGCTGCGTGCAAATAAACACCTGGTTTAAGGTTGTTGGCCAGCACCTTCTCTCTGTCTTCTACGCCCATGGTTTGCCTACTTGTTATGGTAGAGTAAATCCAGAATAAAGGGCTGGTCATCCAAACCCACCCCGTATAAGAGTAGATATGAGACTCACTTGTCTTGCTGTAACATTTGGGCCTCTTAAATACTCTTGGCCTTTTAGTTTACTACAATGCCGTGGAATTCCGTCGCGTTTCACATTGAAGTGAGTCCCATTCATTCCTCATCGCGCCCCTTCAGTTTTGCAATAAACGTCCGCCAGTAGTTTCAATACCTATGTCCAGCGGCCGAAGCCGTAAATCAAAAGCAAATGCTCTCCCTGTTCGGAAAAGGAAGCAGTCCACGATGACAAAGTCTAATATATTGCGGCGTGTGGGTTTGCGCTGCTAATAGAGAGAAACGGCCGTATGGGTGATCAATACTTGCCAATCCAATGCCACCTGAACTAAAGACAGGACACAATTGGATCTTTATGAATTTACATTTTAAAAACGACAATCAGTGTTCCTTTCTGGAACAATAGTAACCTATGCCGCACACATTGTTCGTTGTATGGATGTTTTTATCCCCCTTTTCTTCTTCTTGAACATAGTTTTCTGTATTTGCAATTTTCTGGTATAACTCCAGAAGGGATTGAGCTAGAGACCTGCCATTTTCAGGGTTGCCAGAATCATATTATATGTAGGACATGTAAACAGTAAAACGCTTGTTGTCTTTTCGACTTGCAAAGAGAATGAGTCTTCATCTTCACAATGGAGTTCCTGACTCGCTCGCGGTGGGAGGAGAGAAGAACAAAATCTACAGGTTAAATGTATTTTTATTTTTTTGTGCAAACGTTCGTGCTAAGTTAAACGTGAGTTTCGTACAAATTTGTGCCTAGATGTGCATGCTTTCGTACAAAGGGGTGCAGAGAAGCGTTTAAATTATAATTTCAAAATGTGTGCATTAAATGTGATTGCTGAAATTTATATAATTGAACAATACAAATCCAGTTCTTGTCAGTGTGAGAAATTCGTCGCTTGTCTGTGACCCAAGTGCTTTTTTTTACTTCTCTCGCACTGTAAAAGAGTATCCTCGTAAATTTACAACATTTGTTGTTATTTTGATTCACAAAATATGTCGTAAATTCACGACAGCCCATTCTTGCTCCTCGGTCAATTGGAAGTCGATAGGGAGTGCTTGTAAATTTACAATTTCAAATTGTGATCTTACGACTTTTATCATGGAAAATTTTCCCGTAACCCTTACGAGTATTTTTTACAGAGCGTCACTTACTTCAGATTGTGTTAACAAAATGACTCCAAAACACATCATTTAGACCTCCACACCCACACACAACTTCGTCTGAATGTATGCTTTCGTAAACACGAACATTTGCACAAAAACATGCACATACATTTAGTTTTCGCCTCTACAAGAGATTTCGATGACGTGCTTGCTTTGTAAATTGCAAAGCCGGATCCTTCATAGTTTGCGCATGATCCTCACAAGGCTTTGTGACTCTATAATCTCCCCGTCTCCAAAGATGCTATATTTCGCACCTTTACACAGTTACAGGAATTTCACTGATAAATAAAGTGTGCAACTGGTGTGCACGTGCACATTGCACAATGCTCAACAAACACGTTGCACACTTGTTTGACTAGACATTTGAATACAAAAAAAGGTGTAAGAGGAAAGTTGAACATTGAATTGTGTTCATCTATAGGCTTAGCCATGGAGCTTTGGACACTTAAAAGTGTTCAAACTTACTGCTGAACACTTGTCAGTGTTTAAATTCTTAGTCCACCTGCCAGTGCGCTTTATAGAGTTGAGCACTACCATTTGTCTGCCGCGGTTCATTGTAATTTTGTTGTCGATATTGACACGATCCTTTCGATGCCTTTTATTCTAAAGCGAAATTATCCTGCTGACAGGGGAGGACGGGGAGGGATTGCCTAAGTGGAAAGATTTTGCATCGTGAATTGCTTACCTCTATTTCTCTTGCTCCTACCCCCCCTACCTACCTACCTTCGATGGCCCACAGAGAGTGGTTGGGGTGGCTGCCCCAATCGCCCTCAGCTCCTCCCTTTAAAACGCGCCTGCGCGAAAGAGAGGTATTATTTGTAATCGTTACCTAAGGAAAACGCCTTTTGTATAATGGCGTACTAATGACCTACGAGACCACTATTTTTTCCACTTGTGTGGAGACTGGACATATTAAATGAACAAAAAACACAACAAAATCGCGGTGACTTGATATGATATTTGATGTCGTTTCCTGAGCAATTTGTTTTCTTTTGGTATTCGTGTGAAACTTTCATAATACAGGGTGGCCGCTCTGCCCCGTAGTTTTGAAAAGGTAGACTAGCCCGCTCACAGTCAGAGTGAGGAGGTGGGAGGGGGCGGGAAAGGCAGGTGCGGGCGGGCTAGTTTACCTTTTTAAAACTACAGGGCAGAGCGGCCACCCTGTATCGAATCTTTTGATATCGTGGTTGCATTAGACACGAGGTACGTCTACCTCAAAGATGTCACCCCATTAACCATATTACGAAAACCGGCTAAAATAATTTTGGCCTCGAATGTAGTTAATTGCAATCGACTGCGATCCATGGAACAGTCTAACTGTTTTACGGAGCATTTATCAATACGTAAAGGATTGATAATTATTTGTTTACGATGCCCCACTTGCAGAAACGAGAAAATGTTGTCTTTTTCAGCCATAATCTTCAAATAACGATTTTTGTCATTATCCTCTATTCTTTCTTTACGCTGCCATCGACTAGGCCCGGCCAGGCGCCCCGGCGGCGCGGCGCCACCACCGCCGGCCCCACCGGATGGTCGTGTCTAAAGATGTTAAAATTTGTGGCGACAGTCGAGCTAACTTTGAGACGCAAAACAAAGCTGGGGACGCGGTGAGCGGCACGGGCTTTTCCATACGTCCCGCCTGTCTGCCTGTTGGCGACGGAGCGCGGAAAATAGAGGGAGGGCTCTGCATCAGTCACCGCTCCACTGCCTCCTCGCGCTGCTATTCTCGCGCTCGCCCGGGCCCACAGTCAGCCAAGAACACTGTCACTTTTGCTAAATTTGCACGAATCATTTCCCACTCCATAAAGGCGGACCGTCGTGTCGATTTTAGTCCACCCTGGGGCATGAACTGATTTAAATATGTTGCTCTGCGAGCAGGACATCGCCGATAAAGGGCACGCAGGCCACCCTGCTTGGCGCCACCACCAAAATATCCGCGTCACGGCATGGTCGTGCGCCCCAGTGACTCGTGCTCGTAAATATTTCACACGGACGCGGCAACACTACGGCCCGGACCCGGAATAGAAAAGATTCATTAATAATCAAATTCCTTGACATTCAGTTAAAGTTCGTAATGATGAAGCACATTCAAATTGAATAAGCAGCATTTATGTGGCAAGCAAAAATGAATTTTCATGAGAGCACACTCTTCTTTCAATGAAAGAAAGAGATGTATTATTTGGTTGGCTGACTCGGCATAGCACCGTGAATTATACGTGCTTCCCCAAACTAAGCGACTTTTCCTCCTTTTGATACACCTGCGAGGTATTTACTGCCAATATTACACAAGAAATACATTTTTTAAACGCATCAAGCAGACCTGGCATCGACAGGCACTTCCGTGTTTTTTCCCCAATGTACCTTGACTCGTAAGTGACACAGTTTAGAGTAACAGCTGGAACCTTGCCAAAGGAAAGGGCCTTCTCAGTTAATCGTGAGTCGTGGTGACTTTATTTTTAAAAGTGCAAAATAAGAACGCAAGAACATTTTTCCTGGGGATGTGGCACATTGCGGTGTTCGATAGGTACTCTATCCTGCTCAACCCCTCCTCGCGCCAACCTAACCTAACCTGGTCGGGTGCCGCGCGCCGGGCCGCCGGGTACCGGTACCGGTCGTCTGCCGGCGTGAGGAGGGGGTGGGGGAAGTCTCCGCAAATGGTGGCAAGTCGGCGACGGCAGGTAATCCACAGGCGAGTCGCCGATACTAACACTTGTCAGGCGACGGAGAGGTAGCAGTCGGTTAATCCAATAGGCGGCGTGCACTCATTGCTCTTGATGTCACCATCACTCACTTCACTTAGCACATTCACTTCACTACACAGCACAGCACATCACTATTCACTTCACACTCGCATCACTGCTCGCGCGGGGCCGCGCGGGCGCCGCGGCGCGCCTGCCGAGGGCCGACCTCGTCGTCGGCGTCCTCGCGGGGTCCACGACGACGACGTCGTCGACACACACACACAGTACGGCGCGGCGGCACGGCGCGCTCGGCGCGTCTTTCGGGACGGAAGTGGCCCGGCCTGAGCCTCGGCGGGGTGCGGCGGGGCGCGGCGCGGGGGGCGCGTGGGAGCTCGGCTAAGAGGGGATGTGCCCACACATCGGCCGGCCGGGCTGCGACTGCGACTCAGACACTTACCCCGCTCAGGAAAGTTACGCCCCCGCACTGCCGCCCCCGCGGCGCGGCGGTGCCCACGCCGCCCGCCTCCGCACTCCCTGCCCCACTCCCGGCGGCCGCCTACCAACCCTCGACCGTCCCCCTCGGCGTCGACCAATCAGGGAGCGCTCGGTCTGGAGCTGGTCCAGGTCGGCGCTTCCCCCGACCGCGCCGGGCCGGACCGTGGTCGCGTAGGGACAGGTCGGGCTGCTGCACCCTGTTGCTCTGGGACCTCGGGTGGGGGTGGGTCGGGCAGGCTGCACTGTAAGGTGGGGGAAGTAAAGCAAAGCACCCCACCCCTTGGGCACGAGATACGTTTCGGCGTGCACAGGAAACTCAAGTGTGTGGATGTTGCACACTTGTAGGTGTGTGAATATCCAGGGATCACTCTTTGGACATTCCTGTAAATTCGCCAACCCTTCCAGTAATGCTGCATCCGGAGGATTATTGAACATTGAGCCCTATGAACACTAACAGTGATATACGATTGAGAGTCAAACCAATGACAGTGCCCTACAACTACGGTAAAATATGCTATGTATTGTTGTTAATGTATTTTCCTTTGTTCAAGGTTCAACATTTGTGGCTGTATCCACGCCCGTATGGGGCACCATGGCTCCAGGGGCCTTAGAGGGTATGCAATCCAAAACACTGCAGCGGGGGTTCTGTTGCATCCGGTAAGCTTTATATATGTACTTTGTTTATGGGGGTCTCCACTATACTGTTTTGGACGTACCTGGTGGGTTTGTCTAATCGCTCTGAAGTAGGCAAACCCACCCGCACCTGCGTCTTCTCTGAATTAACCGGTACACGCGATTGCTGGGCAGAGTGGCGCCCGCTCCGAAACACAGGGTACAGAGGATTACAGGAATGTACCCCCTCGACTACTGTGCAGAATTTTCCCAGCAGCACGGCAAAAGAAAAGTCTGATATTTTTAGGAAATTAACTTGAGAAACCTCCTCAGATTTTGAGGATATTTCATCTGGAAATGAGCCAACTTTCTACATTTTTGAGGGGTCGCATTCTTAAGATCTCTTTCTTAAATGATGAGGGTATGCAAAATTAGGATCGGTTATCTCGTTTCCTTAGAAAAAATCAGACGTAATTGTTTAAACAGTGAGTGACCCCATTAATTTCACCTTATTCGGTAGGCACAATGGTGAAATATACATCAATATGAGTGTATGCTCTATTGGGGGTGGATCTAAATATTGGGGTGTAGTACGCGGGCGGAGCGCGAAGATCCCGCGAAGCAGCCGGATCCTCTTATACTGCCGTCAATTGCCGTGCCATGCCTCGTCGGCTCCGAGTCTGAGTGGTCTGTAGACGGCCGTCCCGCTGTTGGACTTTTTCGCTCAATATCAGCCCGACAGTCTCCGCGACGTATTTCTGCCTTTATTGTTGAGCGGAAGGCCAATTAAGGACCACGGCCGCGTGGGCAGAGAGCATATGTGTCAGACAGAGATATGAAGTAGGGGCAGGGGGGTGAGACCAGACATTTCACTGGTAAAACAAGTATGCATCTTGTGCACACGTTATGTGGGCTCTCTACTCTGGAAACTCGGGTGTGAGACAGTCTAACACCAAATGGTGTTAGGCAAAATACCTCACACCAAACGGTGTGAGGCAAACATACCTCACACCAAATGGTGTGAGACTAGTTCTGCCTCACACCAAATGGTGTGAGACCCTCTGTGTCTCACACCATTTGGTATGAGAAAGTATCACTCCATTTGCTGTGAGGCACAACGAGTCTCACACCATTTGGTGTGAGGCACAACGAGTCTCACACCATTTGGTGTGAGGTATGTTTGCCTCTCACCGTTTGGTGTGAGGTATTTTGCCTAACACCATTTGGTGTTAGACTGTCTCACACCTGAGTTTCCAGAGTAATGAGCGCACTTTATGGTTTTCAAACATAAAGCAGCCTACAGAACAGGCTATGCAAAGTTTGAAGTTTGAAAACTGTGTAAGTTCTGCACACTTGTTCCAGTCTGATAGAACAGGAAATCCATACCAAGTGTGGAAAATGCACACCAGGCGGTGTGCATTTGTCAAGACGTTAGCGAAGTGTGCAAGTATGCAAACTTCGCGTGATGTTGAGTTTAAGTTCGACACCAGGAAGTGTGCATTTGAAAAGCACACCAGTGTCGTCGTGTTGTACAGTTGACGGTAGCTTAGTTTTACTTTAAGTGCGATAAGGAAATGCTGGAATAGAAAATACGCGGTACACCTCAAGACACCAATACAAAGCATTCCATATTTAGTATAAATCGTCTTAATGTGTTTTTCTGATCACCCTTTCCTCCTCTCTTCATACTACTTCTCATCGATGGAGCTTCTTCACTTTCAACTTCGCCCCTCTTATGAGACAGATACAGCGAAAGATGCTGGGGGGTTAGGGGGTGGGATTATTAAGAGAGAGAGAGAATGGCTGTGTGTGTGTGTGAGAGAGGGAGAGAGGGGGGGGGGGAGGAGACCAGCCTCCTGGTTCGCTTACAAAATCTTGGGTGTGGAGTATATTGGGATATGGTGTTGGCAGCTCGCCCGCAAAACGTTACGTCGCGCGTTACGTATCAAAACGTTACGTTTACGCCACTGAACGTCTCCTTAATGTCAAGAAACAATAGATTTTATATTTCACAGACTTTGAGACAAATAAAGAAAAGAATGTGGATGCAGTCATTTTCTTTGCAGTGTTAAAGCTCCTGTTTTTTCCTGATGTGTAGTCCTCAGGCTCAGCCTGGAGCTTAGGGGATCCACGTTTATTTGACGCTTTTGCCAGTTTCGAATTTCCCTTCCGACGCGTCACACGCTAGAACTTTGAGGGAAACACAATATCCATCAATGAGATGAGCACCTGACCCCTCAAAACGTTTATGATTTTTCACGCAGCCGCCGCTAATTCTCGGAAAATATTCAAAAGCATCTTTGACTGTGTCCCTTATATCCTACCGACCGCAGTGACAGCCGTCATTGATAGATACAATGCAAGATTATAAAGGAGCTGGCCTCTCTGTCCCCCCTTCGCAGTCGGGCAGAGCTGTCTCGCTCGCTCTCGCACACGAGGCCTGGTCGCGTGCCCGGGAGTGTCTGGCGCGAGGGCTGGCGTCTGCCTGCGCGTGCGAGATAGAGAGAGAGACGGCGCGGAGCAGGAGCGAGCGAGAGGGGCGAGCGGGAGTCGCTCGAGCGCTAAGTGGGAGGTGTGGCTATCGCCCTGGCCGCCCGCTGCGAACCGTCACAACTCCGTACGACTTCGTGGTAGTGTGAGTCGCCCGAACGTGTCATCGAACAGGCGAGATCCGATTTGATCTGTTGTTGATCCGACCGGGAGAGAGAGAGAGATAGGGGTGCTTTTTATTCGATGCAAGCGAAGTGCATTTACCTTGAATGGAACTCGGGCAGCCACTCACCCTATCCGCGAGTAGAGAGAATGCTCTCCGATGCGCTCACCGCTGTCTGCTCTGAACACGAGAGCGTTTTACAACACGCTTACGCTTGCTCGTGTGATGTGCGTTGCCCCGTGTCTTCAATATAGTTTGCGATGAAAATCTTTTCCTATCCGGGCATTAAAACAGTCCGTGCTGTCAAGGTATTACTGTTATGATTCGAGTGCACTATAACAAAACCGCAATGTGCGGGGCGTATAACGTCGTCGCTCGGCCGAGTGCGTCGTAACCTACCGGCGGCTACCTGACCTGCCCCAGCCCGGCTATCGATAAAAATAAATTATGATGAGGTGGACGAGGGGGAAAGACGAGGAGAGGGAGG